GACTTGAATGGGATCTTGGCATGATGTCACCATACAGGTCTCATGCCACTAATTAACCAATTTAAATGCCCAGCAAGAACCAATGAAATTTTTTAAATATTATTTTTCTCAGGTGCTCCCTGTTTGAGGGCGTAATCACCTGGGTCAGAGGTGAGACCAACATGTGGTCTTTTGTTTACTACTTAGCGGCTGTGTACCTGTGGGTTTATTCTGTGTGTTAATGGATGTTCTAATCTTGGTGTTTTTCCAGTGATTTCTCTTGGTGCAATCCAAATACAGTAGGTGTGTCTTGTTTACCTGAGATTTGCAAGAGTTTGAGCTGGCCAACATGTTAGTTTTTTTCATATGGTTGATTACTGGCATGTTGATTTCCCATTTTTGAGCCATATTTTCAACTTTCTTCGTCATTTTCATATAGCAATCTCGTCATATGTTAACATTGTCGTCTATGGAAATTCAATTAGTGGTATGAGCCCTACAGTACTATGCTCGTTGCAAACCCCAAGTAATGTACCTCTGATAACACTAACATATTACGATCACATGTCGTTGCCTCCCAGATATGATAGTTTTACGATATGCAATGCCCACCAATCAGAAGCACCATGGAGAAATGCTCACCAGCATTTTGCAATTTACGATAGCAGATTTTTTTGTGATTTGTCACTCCTGCTATCCATAGTTGGAAGCAATTCGATGTGACTAAAATGTTAAAATACTATATACTCATTTCTATCGCAATTTCTCTGGAGAACGACGAACATGTATATGTATCAATAATCGATCAAAAGACGAACACACATTTTCTGATTATAATGTACTCCAATATAAAGAATTTACTATAATATTTACCATTTGATTTCTTAACCACACATAGCAATTTGAAATTTTGGTGAGAAAAGGGATCTGCCCACTTAAAGTTGGTCGCAATACTTTTAGTTATAGAAAGACTGCTTGACCCAATATAGACAATAACACACGATTGAAATGTCACAAGTTTCGTTTATTATCCACTCTAATCACATTTTACAGGAATTGATTCTAAATATTGATTCTAAAATTATCATTATTTATTCAGACGCCATGGTGGTTGATATAAGAAGGTAATGTCAATATTGTAGCATTCAGCGATGTAAATTTGTACGAAATCTTCTATTTTTGTTGCGTCTTGTTGCTTTTCTTCAATCTTTCCAATAGTTACAAGTCCTATGCTCTGTTGAAGTAACGTTTGCACACAACACCATCCAGTTCCAAGGAAACTACCAACACGTCACCGACAAGTTCACGTGTTTCTACGACTCGGTTGACGATCTGGGACTGGTCACCCGTGCCCCTTGTTACGAACTTTGAATCCGAGACCTTTTCGGTTCTCACTTTTCTGGTTTTGTCGTACGCTAAACCAGCCGGTGAATCGTATTCTTCGTCTCGTTTAGCATTTATAACAATGGTTTTCTGCTCACCTATCAGTTTAATTGTACCTTCTCCGTCGCCAGTTTTCGTAAATTCCAGCTTAGGTTTTCCGATTCTCATCTTAGCGCGAACCTCTTCGGGAGCACCGACGGCTTCCAGGTATGCTTCGAGATTCTCTGATCGGTCAAATGTCCATTTTCCTTCGAAAGCCATTTTTGATGATGGTCGATACGATATTCTTCTAACTCGTTGAAATGACGGAATTGTGTCTTCTGTCGGACCAATTGCGACGTATCGATGGTGACGTTTTGAACTCGGTGATCCATTTTATAGACTCTCTGGGAACGTTCCATTATTGATTGGGTAGTATCGCCGGGTAAAAGCAAACTTATTTTTTAAAATTGACTTGAAGTTCACTCCATTTTGTTCGCCTCTCTCTCTCTCTCACTCTCTCTAAAAGAAAAAAATCATTGTATGACTAATGTGATGCAAAATAGTGAGCCAGTCCTCTAATAAACTTGAAAATGTGGATGGACATCATAGTCACCCTTGAAAAAAGTGATATATCTCTAAGTTAACCAAATAAAACAGAACTACTTGAGTAAATATTGAGTTTTGATGAACCACGTGATAGGGTCTTAAAGAATAAACTACAAGATTGAATACTTTGTCTTATCAGATTTAACTTGGTAACGACCTTTTACCTGCATCTAAGTCAAAGACATTCTGTATTTGTCTTTGGCATTAACATTTTTTTGGTAACCAGATCACGATAATTCATTGTCTACATCAAATGCAGTATCAAACAAAAACATAAACGTTAATATTACATGTTCCCATATTACATTGTTAACGTTGTTAGTGAGCAAAGGCTACCGATCAGCTAAATCACCTAAAGACGCCTCAATCGTCACACAGCGCCACGGTCGTTACACGGCGTCACAGTCGCCACACATCGCCTCGATGGTAACACAGCGCCATGGCCGTCACACAGCGCCATGGTCGCCACACAGCGCCACGGTCGCCACACAGCGTCACAGTCGCCACACAGCGTCTTTATGGTAACACAGCGCCATGGCCGCCACACAGCGCCAAGGTCGCCATACAGCGCCATGGTCGCCACACAGCGCCATGGCCGTCATACAGCGCCATGGCCGTCACACAGCGCCACGGTCGTAACACAGCGTCTCGGTCGTCACACAGCGTCACGGTCGTAACCAATCTCCTTCCCATAGGTCTTTGCGCTATACGCAATAAGTAACGCGCTTTGAACTGGTCGTCACTCATTTGAATATTCGAATACGTTCGAACTACGAGTTCGGTTAAACAGTAATGTGAGTCACCCGGTTACGTTAATAGGTTCAATAAGACGTTTTTATGCCCTGAATCTGAATGAGATGTTTGGTTAATTAGTTTTAAATGTGCATGATTTGCGTTGGAAAAGTATAGTATTCTCTGAGTTGTCAAGGTATTAGATTACAAAATAAATTACTTACTTTATAGACTGGCTAGGGGCTCTGTGTTCTGTGGATATAGGCTTGGCAAAACGAACCCATTCAAGCCAAAAAGAGTTGTGAACAGAAAACATGACAACCAGAGATGCTAGGAAATCATTTTGAGTGAAATTCTTCCCCAACTATATACATACACAGAATATGTTTTCATGCAGTTTTAGTGTATCACGTGCGCCTTTTCACTCTGATCAGTAACATTACCTCGCACAACGTAGTTTCCGATAAAATTGTTCGTATTTACGAAAGTCAAACATTTAATAGTTCAGTTGTCAGAAATTATTTGTTCATATTGTACATTTTCAGATAAAACAACTTTTGAAAATGACCGTGCGTTGTGAGGTGGTTGACCAATCGAAGGCAATATGTGGTACTATCGGCGTACGTACTAACTAAATTCAAGTTGAATTCGTACACGGGCCAGCATATTATTAAGTAAGTTGAGCATTTTCAACAACGACAAAAATCAGAAAAGAATAATTGAAACAAAATAATTCTTCTTAACTGAATAACCATATTGTATACGGAATGAACATTAAATACTATGCGGCCACCCACCAACGTGTGAGGCAATATTTATTCAATCATAAATCGAGCTACTACTAAATGAGATTAGGGTCGAATTGAAGATTTGGAAATTTGTTTCCCGCATGGCAGTTTTTTTTTTTTTAAATGCGTATCAAATGAGCGCCACCACCGATATAAAATACAACAAAGAGAATAATGTATGAACGTTCGTAAGCCACACGTCACACCTTGGGTCTTGGCTGGTTCCTCGTGTCCCTGGCGAATGGCAGAAGGGGCAGATAATCAGTTGTCGTTCAGTCTGGTTTTTCAGGTCTCGAGCTGATTTGAAACACAATAAACATAATCTGAGGTTGCATTCATATTTTGTATGATCTGTAAAATACCTTTCACTGACCCCTGTGGGCATCATTTATACGGGTTTGGGATTGCATAAAGTTCGTGGGAAATCTTATTCAAACAGTATCTTTGAACCAATCTTGAAGAATAAATGCAAGTAGTCTTGAGTGATTACAACAATCAGATGAGTATTTGGTTTCGGGACTAGACAGGCTAACGTCAGAGAAATATTCCATAATTTGTGGCCAAACCAACCCTTTATATCATTTACATGGTGGACATCATAATCAGTGAGTGGTGTTTTGCATATAAAACAAAGTGGAAAAGCAACTTTAATTAACCGTCTGATTAACGTAATATGTCCACATTCATGTTCCAACACCTCACAATTTGGCCAATCGTAAATTATTATAAGAAATAGGTAGAATTAATTTTATCTGCGCACTTATGTTCGCCTCCCAGTATTTGGTTCATGCTAGAATGTACTTCTGAGTGCTTGTCAACGCTTATAGAGCGGCAACACAGAAACTTGTAAATCAATGTATGGATGATTCTACTTTTATGACATACTAGTAGTTCTAGGGATTACGTGGGAGGGCGCTATTGTGTTTCCGGGTTGTGTTTCGTGATATACTTTTTACTAGATAGTGAGACGTGGTCAGGCAACCCCAATCAACCATTAATTTGTGATCCGACATTCACCTTTAAGTAGTCTTTAACATATCACTACAGTTTCCCCGTTAATAGTTTAGGTTAATTTGTACTAAATATTATATACAAGGCATACTACCCGATTAAGTGTTTAATATAAGTGAGTACCGGAGTTGGATTGGCAGAGATGTGTCTGAGAGGTGAGACACTCAGTGGCACACATAATCTAGGTTAGGCCACAGTCCCTCTGGTTAGGCATAAAATTACGATAGACAAACAGTACCACGACGGAAACTGAACTTGGTTTAAATAATACTTGCACTGTAAATACGATCGTCAAAGGATAATATATGTACTTGTCTCACTAAGTAATTCAAATTCGTAATAACATCATACGATATATGACACAGAAATACATGTCTTCACTGTGACCCTTCACTTAGTAGTGGGGAAAGATCCACGTGTCAATAGCGGGACAAAGGTGACTTGAAGTCAGCACAGTACAGTACGCACATGTACACGTGTCAGATACTGGACATCGAACCGTGACGTCATAGCTGTCGTACATGATGATACGAGTCGTGCTACCACGCATGATACGAGTCGTGCTGCCAAACTACAGGCCATACCTGGAACTTGCTAACATAAATGGGATGGGTTGAGATCTTGTAGAATAATCCTACCGCATACTAGTATTCCACTAATATTGGCAACCAAACTATGATTAAAGAAAGCCAACACGAAATATAGCATTATACTAACATGTATACAGCCACAGAGTTTCCCGTTGCACATATAGCTACAGAATGGCAACTGGTAGCATCATGGTCTGACCATTGGTGTACCAACTCGCCTTAGCATAACGAAGCTTCAGCTTTGACGTAAAGCTTCGCTTGCCCGTGCATGGATTGCAGTATATGCCGGACGCAGAATGCTCGGGTGTCCCGAGTGGATATTTGTAGTCAATTCCAAATGTCTTTATTTCTCGGATTCCAATGCCCTGTATTTGTAATAACACATGTGTGTATGTACTGAGTAAGTTAAACTTCGCGAACACCGGCCATTGCCCTAAATATTCGAATGTCAACGACCGACGCCTGCGAAACAGTCTTCCGATCCTGGAGGTCGAGACTCTCTCCTCGTATTGAGCTGGATATAGGGCAATCTGGCAGCACTGTCTGTCTGTCTGAACATGAATATGTTAAGTTTTGTAACTCTGTATAAAGGGTGGACCATATTCTAATCTATACTTATCCGCGTGATTGTCGAGGTGACGCGATATAAATTTTTCAAAAGCAATACAGTGTAAACTCAAATGGAGATAAGACAACTCATCGGCGTCATCTGAACTTGATACGCAACGAGTGGACGCGACCACGTGATAACCACGCCAGATATGAGCCCTTGACGTATTCAGTGCATTTGCACGCAAGGCATATAATGTAATGTCCAGCGTGTCAATATCGTACACATTGAAAATGTGGTAAATGTATTGGAGTACCTGTAGTCACAGTCACTCTATCCCGAGGAACTGTGCTGTAGTCAAGTATTGTGCTATTTAAAATATTGTTGATGCATTGCTCAATATAAAAAAGAGGAGTCGTACATGAAAATAAAGATATTTGATATTTGGGACTGATGATAATAACACTATCGATGGTGGGTATAAACTCCGAGACACCGGTAACTTGATAGTAGTTACAATCACAGTTGTCAATAACTGCACTTTGCATGTCATAGAATCACCACATGTAAAGTTACTTATGTAATATTGGCCTTTCGTCACGGTGACGTCAAATGGTTCTTATCTAGTCACCGTGACTCTCTCGATCATTTATAATCATAACCCAGTCCAGACAGCGTGACAACTTACGACGATTATAACACTCTTTGTTATTAAATTTACGGAGTCACACAAAATTACATAAAAACAGGACAAGTTCGTATTGGGGGGGGGGGCTGGTGTTTTGAGTCATGCGTGCTTAGTGTATCATAAGATAAAGATGTTCCTGATAGTAAACCAATGTAAAGTACGGTCAAGTTATTTTCTGATACTTGACTTTCTATCCATAACGTCGTGCATTTGTGTGTAAGTTCAGCCGTACTAAACAAGTTAAACGTGTCCCAGACGGGTGATTTATTGTGAATAGCAATGGTAGTGACACTGTGTTGTTAACGCGAAATTCTTCAATGTTAAGTAACTTCTTTTTTATGTATTTAATTAGGACGAAATCACCACAAAGTGTGTAATTCTATGATTAAAAAAATGCAAGCGGAGACCCGTCCCCCAGGCCCTACAACCAACTACACAGTCACAGAACGTCACGATACGGTATCACGCTACAGTTACAGATGACTGTGATTATGCTTCAACGATAACCAACCAAGAGATTATATCGGCGACAAACAATCTGTCTGGAAAGAACAGATAACTCGACTAAGTTATTAGTTTTAATTATATATCGTCTACCAATAGCTTGAAGTTGCGCACACACTTTGTATTATTACTTATCACATTCCACTAATTCTTGGGATTACCATGAACAATTAGTTGGCATGGCAACACATTCTGAAATTTTGCAGCATTGAAGCATGCATGCACTCACTGAAGGTCGTGGTGCCTAATCACCAAAGCAAGCATAATATTATGAGGTTTCTAAATTTGATTTCGATACCAGTCTCAATTTATTAGACGCAAATAATACACGTATAAAAAATATATTTCTAGAGTTTATTTTATCGATGAATGTGGTCACTAAATATTTCCAAAACGCCTTGTATCGACTTTTGTATGCTCACTGGTAGACTGGCTCCAGCTGGGTTGATTATGATGGTTTACAATAATTTGGTAAACATGTCAGTTTCTCGTTATTGGTGACATACTTTCGAAACAGTGGTGAGTGACCTTGACACCACGAGCCATTTTGCCATTACGGGACAGATGTATTGAAGCAAAGTGGTTCCTAGTTTATAGTAAAAAAAAAGAATCATCACGACTGAAGCAAGTATAGCTCACAGATTTATTCAAATCTGTAAGGTATGATAATAAAAGAAGTCATTCGTTGAATTGGCCATAGAGGTCACTCAAGCGTAAATGTAGAAAAGAGTATTTCCAACAACCTTATAGCTCAGTTGACCTGCCAGTTGTAATTATTATACCCACACGTTAGTTGATTTGAAATGACACACTTCTTGGCAAAACACAAGTGACATAGTGAGATCACATAATAAGGAACAACCTTAAGTTACTGATCAACAAATATGAAAACCTTACAGAAGTACTATGTTCTTCCAAATTTCAAAATGAAATATGTTTTTGTGTTGTTGTTTTTTTTGTGATTTTTTATTCGGAGAACTTGTTACGGTTAAAGGGCGGTGGTCGTTGCGTCGCGTCCTGTTCGATATGGGACTCATAGCGACTTACACAACACGTGTAAAATACATTGTTAGTTTACGTGAAATTCGAACACGCGTTGTGCCGCGGCGACCACCGTCATTTAATACTTTTTCGCAAACAGCACCATCGTTGAAATTGAATCAAGTAATTACCATACAAATCAGTGTATGCAATGTATACTATGTTGTAACACTTGACGTCGTACAATGTTCTGCAGCACAAATACCGCTGAGAACAGTATAACAAACATCTACTTATATATACGAAGTAATCAAACGTGCGATGAATCAACTAACAACCCATGAGCATGTATGGTTCTATTAAATTATCTAGAGCTGTCATACATAATGTTGAATACACGAATATGCAAATCACAACTTCCAAATACAGGCCTTGTCGTTGTATTTTGAAGTTGTATTGAATAAATTCTATGACTGGTGACATAATGCTCCGCGGACTCAATAGAAACAGCGCCACCCAGTGTTCAAATATCAAAGCAAAATGTTAGTTTTAATATTGTAAAACGATATTGTTTTGTTTCTTGTTTACTAGAAGTGTGCGTAATCAACAACATTTCCCAGTATTTTAAAAGCGTTTCTAATCACTTTTCACCAATGTGTGGCATAATCTATACGCTTTCAACCAAATCCGCGTATTTGGGTGTTAGATCTGTTGAATTTCAACGAACTGACTTTTAATTAAATTCATGAGGACAGCTGGAAAAAGAAAAAGAATTCAGTGCGATGTTACTAAAATATACATTGGGTCATAGTGATGTTAACTAGTTTAGTACAAACGTTCCCCTCCCTGACGAAACCCCACCCAGAGAAATTGCTAAATGTACAACGGTATTTTTTCTGGAAGGGTTTGTATGTGCGCACTTTTGTCCGGGAGGGGGGAGTTGTTTACTGTACTATGTGTTTAAGATTCTGTAATGAGACTTACCAGATTGACATCCGTGTCATTTATGGCTGTTACAGTGTACGCCGCAAGAAAAGACGAAACAATTTACCTATTACCTATACAATTATGTTTTCACTTCTAGCTATGGTTTATTCAGAGTTTGAACGACGTATTTACTACAGATTGCCGTGCATTTCAGTGTCCTATGTCTCGAACTGGATGTTCACGGAGATAAGATAAAAGTACCAACAACTAACAATATGCAAAATTGAACGAATTAACAAATTTAGTCAGAACATCCATTAACCATAACACTTTCCAAACATCTTTGATATCAAAGTATGCTCTGTGGCTGCGCAAGTGAGGGCGCCACCAGCGTTGAGAGTGTATTCCAAAACAGTTCTCCATTTTGAGTATAGTGTACGCACTGTACGCACTCCGTTATCCTCTAAACCTACTTATTCATAAGACAACTTTCCATTTCAGGAATTAGGTGAGTATTTAATGCATTGTATATGCTACTAAACTTACTGTTTTTGTATACTTTCACTCCACAACAAATTACTAGTACTACTATATCATACGAAGAGGTCATCTATGGGTTAAAACGATACGAACTGCATATGACCATACTCCCTCTTATGACAGAGGCTCTATTCGAAAGGGCGTTGGGTGCGTAGCTCAACACAAGCGAGTTAATTGTCTGCAGGGTCAACTGTTTTTGCCACTCTTCTCGGTCAGGTTAAGTGAATAAGTATTTGTTCAGCAACCCATAGTATTGGGCCATCGATGACTTGAACTCAGACTAGTCTCGATTGTACTCTCAACCGCTGTGACTATAACCGTTTTTATACGTTTATATTAAAATTGCGGTGGCCCACAAGTGACAACATATATTTAATTCATCGCGGAATCAATAAAATGCTCCCATCTCTCTCAGTCGGTACTTCGATAGCATCCCCAGACGGATGTGTTGGATAGATTGACACGAAACGCTGCATTGCTATGTATACGAATTTTCAGCAGACAGCGGTGGTGATCACAGTCTAACTAAACCGTGACCAGTCTTGCCCTTGATCTCAGACAACTAATACATTTATTAGCTTTCTGAAGTTTGATTGAAAAAAGGGAGAATTATAGGATATCATGGCTACTTCCGCCGTGGAAAATGGAGAGTTTCATTTGCGAGACGTGAGAATTTTGCCGTCAAATTACGGAGTTTTGCTGTGAAGTAATAGTGTTTTGCTGTGAAGTAATAGTGTTTTGCCGTAAAATAATATAGTTTTGCCGTCAAATAATTGAGTTTTGCCATGAAGTAATAGTGTTTGCCGTGAAGTAATAGTGTTTGGCCATCAAATAATAAAGTTTTGCCGCGTAATGTAATCAATTACTACCATGTATTCGAATTGAGACGTTAATCTTGATACTTCCTCGTTTATACGGCAACATTATATCGGAGCCAAACGTTTGGAGCGGCAACAATCGCCGTGTAAACGCGTTCAGTTCGAGCTGAGTACGGCTGCAATACATCCCGGGGTTGAGCTCGCACAGAACGAACCCGATATTTCCGCTGTAAACTCTAACTGACTTGCTCTTTACTGTGAACGAAAAAGCAACCCAACCATCAGTATTGCAATATAACCCACCGTTTTGCTAACAAAGTAGCAATATTGACATTCGATTACCATTACAAATTGTTGAACATTGAACTACATTACATTACATTACATTGAAGGACCATAAACGATCATGAAGTAAGTTCTGGATTCATTTGTTTCGATAGCACAGTTTGTGCCACATAACTGTGCTTTTTAGCCCCATGTGTCAACTCAACATGTGCCATAGAAACATGCCCATAAATATGGCATAACAACTTTCACGTGATTATCATTTTGTTGAATGTGATTAAACGATGGTTGGCTGGTTGCCACTATTCATTGTTATGCTGGAACACATTTTTCAATTGCCAAAATTCATTGAAACATGACACATTGAAACTCACATGTTGTTTTGCTTCTGAATCATTAGAAGTGTTATCTGTATTTTTTTTACCAATCTATTTCAGAAGAGAAAAAAACATTGATAAATGGCAACTGCAGAGAATGTGAAAACAACTAAGAATCCATCAAGTTTATCCGTTCATAAATGCAGCATTTGTCACAGTATATATGCTACATACAGTCAACTGTATTTCCATGTGTGTGTTCATTCTGCTAAAAGTTCATTCCAATGTGACAAGTGTTGTGAACAGTTTTCAGATATAAAAAAGTTAAAACACCATGTGAAGAATGTTCATCCCGGGAACATGTATCAATGTAGTATATGTGCCAACTGCTTTACAAGCAAGTCAGATTTCGTATTACACGAGGACATACATAAACAGTCATATAGGTGTCAGAGCTGTGAAAAATGTTTCACAAAAGTGGGTCAGCTGACGATACACAGAAAGCAGTGTATGAAACAACATAATCGCTCTCAAAATACAGTAAGCACCAGCACCTCACACATGTATACCTGTTCATATTGTCACAGCTGTTTTGCTCGGAGAGTAGAACTCAAAATTCACATGCGGTCACACAGAAGGGAGATAACTTTCCTTTGTGATCGATGTGGGAAAAGTTTTATCAGACAATCTGATGTGACGAAACATATGAAAATGCATGAAAGGGAAGTACTACAGACATGTGGAGATAAGATAGTTGGGGATTGTTTCAAAGACGAAGATTTAGACTCTGTGATGTGTGACATATGTGGTGAAAACCTGGAGGATAATATTAAATTCAAGCACCACATGAAGCTACACTCGAATGATTCAAAGGTTGGTGAAGAGATTGAACAAACTGCCACGGAGAGTCCTTTAAAATGCGAAAGGACACCATGTACGCAATCCAGAGAAATAACTTTTTCCAGAGCTGACAGCCCATTGTGCAATATTGTGTCGTTTGAACGACTGTGTGAAGTATGTGGAGAAATATTTGGAAGACTTGATGAGTTTGAAAACCACAAACGCGAACATATTCAGTGTCTTGATGATATATCAGAAGTGAATATTGCTGATTGGAATAACGTGCAACAGAACTATAGCAAACCTGATAAGAAGATATCTGATAAGAAAATTGTTGTGGTGGTTAAACCCCCAAAACGTATCAAATCAAAACAAGCTGACTTAAAGTGCTATACAGACTTGCATAAGAAATATTCTGGTACAAAGCATGCTGACATGTTGCACAGGAAATACTCGTGTAAAGTATGTGGACAACTGTTTGGCGGAAGTCATGCCATCAATAGTCATATGAGAAAACATTCTAATGTAGTTCAATACAAATGTGGTGTCTGTTGTAAACGCTTTCAGCGGAAACATGATATAAATCGTCACATGAAAACACACAGTAAGACAAGCAAGTATCCTTGTGAACATTGTGTAAGAACATTTGCAAAACAGGCACTCGTGAATATTCATTGTGAAAAACATCATTTTAAGAAAAGTAACCAATGTAATCATAGGAGGGGTTTGACCCCAGAGAAGGTAAACAGCAGTATAAAGGTAACTAAAATGCAACACACGTATACTTGTGTCAAATGTCAAACACATTTTTATTCGCATAAAGTTTATAAAAGTCACATGTTTTCTCATGCTCATAAACCTTACAAATGTGCAATATGTGGTGAATGCTTCAGAAGTGAACGGAACCTAAATCAGCACCTTCTGAATCATGAAAAGATGGACACACATAATTCATATGTATATAGAGTTAACAACACTAATCTGACAATGGAGCAGCCCAAAAGAAAACTAGAAGACCCATCAACATCAGCAAGTCCACCTGCCGAAAGTTTTCTTAAACTCAACTCAAGTAAATATACTGACGTCTGTGTAGGGGTAAAAGTATTGAAACCTGATGATTGTGGCAAGGGCCTTTCACACAAATGTGTAGATTTGAGCTTGTTAGAGGAACGGCCCTATGAATATGAGACATGTTCTGACCAAACAAGTTTGCATCTAATTTCATTTGAGACCTCTGCATTTGACTCATTTAGACTCAAGTTTAAAGTATAGAAGTCCGTTTATAAAAATGAATAACGCAAAATTAGTTTTGTTAACGATCGTTGATTTGTACCACTAGTCAAGATATGAACTAACAAATTAAAATAAAACTCCTGGCGTTGTTGATGCAAGTCCTATAAATACACATGTGTCGTGCACCACCCATATATTCAGTACGGTACACTCAGGGCTATTACTGCTGCTACTTAGTTCATTAAATGCCAGATATGTAAAGACAAGCCAAAAGATTCTTTATTCACTCTTATTCACTAGAGACTTCTTGTATGTATATTTTATTTAAATTCTTAAACCTTTGAATTATTTTCGGCTAGTTTGTTTTGTATTTTCGTTTGTTGTGATTGTCTTTTTCTTAATGTACTCAATGTTAAATGTTGTACATGCCAAATAGAACATTCTATTTTATATTAGCTTATATTATGTGTATGCTGTGCTATCGGGCAACACAAACTAGGATTGAAACTTACTTCTCGATAATTTAAATGAAAATCGTTAGAATTGTATTTATATTATTAATCGTTTTCATTCGCATTTATCGTATTGTTATTGTTCACCAACTGTTCGTTAGACCGGTACCTAGGCATATAAGAAACATATATTTATGTATTGAGACATGCTAGCACTATATCAATGTGCAACCTCAATTTACTGCCAAGCGTGTTACTACATTTTTGATTACTTGGTATGTATCCTTGAGTGAACTGTCATGAATTTGTTTTTGCGTATCTGTTAACCGACTTAATTAACTGATTATTAGCGAATTGCTGTGTTATGTCTGTCATCGTGTAGGCCTATTTGTGAAATTTTGGACGGAACTTGGCTCAGTGATTTGGAACTAATTACCAGATAGCCGCCGCTTTTTAGACTACTCATTCTGACAGTTGGTATCCGTAGTTATTAATGTAGTGAACGATTAATCAAAAGATATGACGTATTCAGTACTTAGTGTGATTGGCTTTATGATTGAAGGTTACGCCTTAGAGTCTTTTTACTGCTTTGTAATTGGTTAGAGTTTTGAAAATGAATAAAGAGAGTTTGAGTTGGTCTTGGCGAATACTCCACGACAGACGCAGTCCGAGAGAGTCCAGGGGCGAGCCTTGAGGCAGTCCAGTCTTGGGCTAGCCTTGTGTCAGCCTTGTGAGAGTCTTGGGGACTTTTTCCCAGGGCGCTGTGTCTTATAGAGTGCTCGATTGACCGACTAAGACGAGAGCTGAAACGTATTTCGTTGTGTGTGTCTTATTTGACTGTAAAGTTAAAGTGACTTTCCCGATCCCGTACCTCAAGGAGACGAGAAATAGAGACGAGACGAGTTCCCCCCCCTGACAAGTGTGGAGAACCCGAGAGAAAGATAATTTCCCCCTGATAGAACCTCCATCAGATTTGTTCATTTTTAGTGAACGTTGTTAAAGTTTTGGTAAAAATTCTATTATCAACTTTTTCGTGAAAACTCTAACCCCTGCTTTGAAATGTAGGTGCCCCGGGTGAACCCGTATTAGATTTGTTCAGATGATAACAGAAATTCCTTATTATTAGCTAATATTCATTTAGCTGAAAAATTGTATTATCTACTGCCTTTGTAAGCACCCAGCCTGATTTCTATTCGTGTTGAGCATTTTTTAAATAACGGTAATTAAATAACATATATTGATAAAAACATTATAGTATGATATTTACCAGTGTATTGTTTGTAGAAATAATTAAAAAAACAAACATGCCTTCATTTACGTTTACTTTCGGTTCAGCCAGTTATCACATATATAGCCAATACAATAAATCACACTATTTCGCTGAACATGTAATACCAAACAATGTTAGTTTAAAATGTTCAAAACTACTTAAAAATTGAATAACGAATACTTGTGAATTGTTTAGGGCATCGGTTACAGCTAGTGTGATAACATCCGAATAATACTAATGATGCATATCTGACAAATGTCGAGCAGTTCTGAGCCATCAATCGTCTTCCCGTTGAAATTCATTTTGGAAACATTGAAACAATTTTGAGTGTCACGTGAAATTTAACAATTCCAAACTAGTAAAGAAGAGTGACAGGTGTGAGCAGTAAATGCATGACCCTGAAAATCCAAAGATTAATTTTCTGTGAGCAAGTAGAAGTTAGTAATCTCCACTTCTTGTTAAAAATGTGAGAATAGATTTAATGGCTTAAAAGCAAAAAATCATCTGAGATGCTTGGTAAAATTGCAAAATCACTGATTCATGAACCATCAAAAGCAGATGCCACAGTCTCACAGAAAAGTTATTATATACTTATCTAATTTAGCTTGAAGTTATATTGCTTGAATAGTTTGTGTATGATATGTAAAGTTGAGATGGATCATTGTGGAATTCATATTATATTGATTTATAGAGGGGGATCGTAGAAGTTTGTTCAGCTTCGTCCGGTGTTCGACGTCGTCCGTGTCAACATTTTACTTTTAATGTCTTATATTTTACATATAATAGATATAGATGAAACACGAAAGTACTCGCAGAAACGATATTTTGAGGAGAGGAAATCGTTTTTTGATTTCAAAAATGGAATTATGAATTGGCAATTACATTTGTGCTAATAATGACGATTTGAATTGGGTTTCTACATATTGGTAAATGACGCAATATTGAATTGGATTTAAATCGTAAACATTGAGTTTAATCGGATATATCCAAGTGGATTTAATTCGACAATGTTATTCTAAATAATAGAAAATAATAATAAATAGTAAAAAATATAATTTTCTAGATTTCTGGGTAATGCGTCGCAAAAATGTTCATCAGCCCCAATATATCTAATACAAAATATTGCAGCTTATTAGTGTAAATAAGAATATTATTTGAGATGTATTTCATGAAAAATAATCAGTCAAAATATATTAATATGTATAATATACAAAAATAAAGTGAAAACAGCTAATACATAAAACATTTAGGACTAATTGGTTGCCTGAGGTCAAATTTTCAAATAATAGAAAATATACAAATTTTGTCAGTTTCAATTCACAATTATGTGCCAAAATTTTAAATTATGCACTCACAGGCAACTACTTTAGGGTATTTTTAATGTCTTATATATTTATTTTGCCGTCCTTGGGTATCAATATTCCTTATTGACAAAATTGGTAATAAATAGCTATTCATCCAATCAAAATAGTTAATTGGGGAAGCTTTATTGAAACCAAAGAAAGAAAGTGAAAATCACCTTGAATAAAAACATCCCTGTTCAGCGTCACATACAGAAGCTCCTTGTAGCTACATCTCAACAATGTTTATTATCTCCGATTTTGACTTTGTCGTTCAGCTTCGTCCGGTGTTCGACGTCGTCCGTGTCAACATTTTACTTTTTCGACTTCTTGAAAACTACAACAAGCCTGATTGCTTTGATACTTGGTGTATATGTACCTCGGTAGACCTCACTTAGATTTGTTCATTTCATAATGATATCTTTAATTCTCTAAGTTTGACGGTTCTGATATTATACATATATGTACCTCATGCCATTTTGTGATATCTTCAGTTCTCTAATTGAAATGTGCCTTGCTAACAGCGGAACTATCTCAGCCGAGAGGCTGAAAAAGCAGGAGACCCAATGATGAATTTTAATGATCCAGCGGTCATTGGATGGTATGTCGTAAGACTGGATTGATATAAAGCCTACCCAGACGATTTTACTTATTACAGCCACCCCCCCTCCCCATGTTGTTCTTTTTACAACTATTCAAGAAATACACTTGCCATCTTATGTGTAGGTTAGAATATCTCAAATACAAGGCTGCAAGCTGATACAACCTCATTCAACCTCAAAACGTTTAATATGACTGTGGGTTCCAAACACACATTCCAGTGTAATCAGAAAAAATATGTCCACTTTTCTCGTCCAACAATTGTCCGGCCTTTAATTCATTATTAGTCCCCGTTCGGACGAAGTCCGAAAACGGGGACTTATAATTCGGTCTCCGTCCGTGCGTCCGTGAGTCTGTGCGTCCGTGCGTCCGTGCGTCTGTGCGTCCGTGCGTCCGTCCGGAGTCATATCTCAGAATCCCTTCGACCGATTCTGTTCATTCTTTGCATGTGCCTAGTCACAGTCCCTCTAGATAGAGGGACTGTGGCCTAGTACTTTATGTGGGACATATGCACATGCAGTGGTTTAGCGATTCGATTCAAAATGGCCGACTGGCAGCCATCTTGTTTCTTGAAAATGTTGTATTTTAGACATGCTTCGTCAGTTTTCATTCAAACTTGGTACATAGATTATACATGTTAGGATACATGTCCATGATGATTTATTTCACAATTGGATCAAAGATGGCCGACTGGCAGCCATCTTGTTTTTTGAAAATGTTGTATTTTGGACATGCTTTGTTAGTTTTCATTCACACTTGGTACATAGATTATACATGTTAGGATACATGTCCATGATGATTTACTTCACAATTGGATCAAAGATGGCCGACTGGCAGCCATCTTGTTTTTTGAAAATGTTGTATTTTGGACATGCTTTTGTCAGTTTTCATTCACACTTGGTACATAGATTATACATGTTAGGATACATGTCCATGATGATATATTTCGCAATTGGATCAAAGATGGCCGACTGGCAGAAATCTTGTTTTTTGAAAATGTTGTATTTTGGACATGCTTTTGTCAGTTTTCATTCACACTTGGTACATAGATTATACATGTTAGGATACATGTCCATGATGATTTATTTCACAATTGGATCAAAGATGGCCGACTGGCAGCCATCTTGTTTTTTGAAAATGTTGTATTTTGGACATGCTTTGTCAGTTTACATTCAAATTTAGTACATAGATCATACATGTTAGGATACATGTCTCCGACCATCTGTGAGTTCCTGAGTCTCTCTGTCTGTCCGTCCGTCCGTCCGTCCGTGTGTCAGTCTGTCTAGAGTCATATTTCAGAATCCTGGGGACCGATTCTGTTTATTCTTTGCATGTGTCTAGTACCTTATGTGGGACATATGCACATGCAGTGGTTTA